GGCTCCAGGCTGAGGCCACGGCCAGCGCCGCCTCCGGCCCCCGCCTGCCCGGTTCGCGGGGGTTTTCTCCCCAGCCCCTGCCTCGCTCTCTCGCTCCCCCGGCCCCGCTCGCCCATTCCGCCTCGCCTGCGCCTTCCTGAGCCCCCCCTTTCCTTGTGGGAATTCGTGCTCTCCTCCCACCCATCCCTTCCACCCCTTCTTCCCTTCCCTCCCTTATCGGGAAGGAAAAAATAGAAAAAGGCACGGAAGGAGCAAGGTGGAGGGGCTTCCATGGGGGAAGCGGTGTATTGGGAAGTTCAGTGTGCAGGAGGCTGGCAGACAGGGTGGGTCTGGTGCCTTTTTTATCTATTCCTTTATTATTATTTCTTTTTTCCCCTCTCCACAGGCTCTTTGGATTTGTAAAGGTGTCTGTGCGTTGCGTGTGTCTCAGGTGGAGTTAGGGCTGTGCAGAGGGGTGCTGCTGTGCACGGAGAGGTGTTTCGGGGTGCAGCAATCGCACCCTTGTGTAGGGTGCAGCTCGTAGGCATCTGCAGACGAGAGTAAAACTGGGTCCGGGATGTAATGAAATCGTGCAGGGCTTTCCAGGCTCTTTGGATTTGTAAAGGTGTCTGTGCGTTGCGTGTGTCTCAGGTGGAGTTAGGGCTGTGCAGAGGGGTGCTGCTGTGCACGGAGAGGTGTTTCGGGGTGCAGCAATCGCACCCTTGTGTAGGGTGCAGCTCGTAGGCATCTGCAGACGAGAGTAAAACTGGGTCCGGGATGTAATGAAATCGTGCAGGGCTTTCTGTGTTTCCTTGCTCGTTCCTTCCTGTGCTTGCTCCCCATTTTGCATCCTGAAGTGCTCTGGGTAGGCTAGGAGTGTGCGTGCAGAAGGTGTCTCTTCCTTCTTACTTTTCCTTGTGATTTCTTAATTTGGAAATGCATTCATCCCCCTCCTCTGCAAGGGAATTGTCTCCTCAGCGCTTTGCATTTGGAGGAGCAAGCGGGAGAGGCTGTGTGAGGTTGTGCTTTGCTTTTTTTCCCCTCCACCATACGCCCATGCTCCACCCTCCTCCTCCTCCTCCTCTTGTAGTCAGGAGGAGAAGAAAAAGTGCCAACTTGGTTCAAGTAAACGCTATGAAAAATGGAATTTAAGCCTTGAGCAGAAAGAGCAGCGATGGCCCCTTTAAATGCTCCCTGGTGCCAGCTGCCAAATGACAAATAAAGAAGTTGGGGAGAGGAAAGAAAATGGGTTTTGGGGAAGGGTAGGGATGTGCGTGGCAGACCCAACAGATCTGCAGAAAGCTTTTTGACGTCTCTTGCATAGGTCGAAGCCCGTGGTGCCTTCCCCTTGCCCGTTCTGTAGCTCGGTCCTTCAGGAGAGAAATGAAAGCAAGCAGAAAATGCCAACTGGCCCCTGTATTCCAGCGCCTCCCTTAACGCCCTGAAACGCTTGGTCTTTTTTGGAAAGATTATTTGGGGGCTTCTGCTTTCCTTGGCTTTGACTTTTTTTTCCTCCCCTCCACTTGTTGTAGAAGAGGGGAGAAGCCCCTGGGTGGTATTTGCCGCTCCAGGAGCGGCAGCGGACCAGGATTAACGTGTAAATGCCATCTGTTGCTCCGCCGGTTGGAGTTGTGCTGAGGAAAAGTGCCATTTTGACAGTGGCTTCCAGGGAAGGGAAAAAAAAAAAAGAAAAGAGAGGCAAGCCCATTTCGGTCTCTTCCTGTGTGCGCTCAGCCCTGCCGTGATTTGCTCAGGGCGCAATGGGTGGTGATTTTGGTGTGTGTTTTGGTGGCAGGGTTCAAATGAATCACTGCCTTCCGCCCGGGCAGTGATGTTCCTCAGGTTTTCTCTCCGCTCCGTTTTCTATGGTAGTTGAACTTGCTCCCATCCCCTTGCTGCTTTGCTTTGCCGCTCGGATTTGCTGCTTTCTTTCAGGCTGATACTTTGCTTTCCTTACTTCTGCGAAGAGACTCTAACGTCGTGGTAAATTTTTCTTTTCCGTAGCCTTCGGCACGTAGGTTCAGCTCGGTGTTGCTGTAAAGAAGGAAGCGCACGGCGTGCTTGGGTTATATTGAATGAAAAATCGAGGTTTTCTGAGAACGCGCAGCTTTTTCTGGCAGTTTGTGTTTGTGAGGGCTCTGACTGAAGTAGGAAGAAGCCGTGTGCGCTCGCAGTTGAAGTTAGTGCTAGCGGTGGCGGTACTCCGGCGAGTTTTTGGCGATTGAGGCTTTTATCTCTGCTTCTGCTCTTCTGGCTAAACGTGGCACAGAGCAAAACCACTGATGACAACCTCGATATCTGTGAAGGAAACAGCGGGGAGGGGCGGTTCGCGATTGTGCGGCAGCGCGGCTGAGGAAGTGGGCGTGCACGGCGGCCGAAATTTTCGGGTGTAACTATTGTATTGTGTGCTCTGTGCGGTGCTCCGGGGGGGTCTCATTTTCCCGATTGTGTCTTTCAGGAGCTGGAGGAGGAAATGACATTCAGTGGTGTTTTTCTCAGGTGAAAGGCGCTGTAGATGATGATGTAGCAGAAGGTAAGAGCAATATTTTACTGAATGTTCTCTGACTTTTTAGCTGCTCTCTTATTTCAGTGTTTTCATACCTCGGTGTTGCTGTGTGCGACTTGAGCAAAGCAAGCAGACATTTGGTGTGCATTCACATACCCACATCCAGCATTCAGCTGTGGTTCAGCACACAAGAAGGGCTGAATTCAGGCTTCTCCAGGATTTTGCTGGCATTGTTTGCCAAGATTGTGAAGATTTTCCTGACGCTCAGCCTCTCATTTGTGTTTTTTCCTAATGTGCAAAATGGGAATGTGATACCTGAGTTCCTCAGGGAGGTGTTGTGAGAATTAATTAATGTTTGTCCTCTTTGAGGATCTAAGCACTAGATAAAGATCAAGTAATTTTCCCAATCTTTCTGGCTTGTGTTAACCAGAAGAAATCTGAATATTAGTGCATGCTTGCTTATCAGGTAAAGAGGGGTTTTGTGTTTGAAATAATACTGGGAATAGCCTAAAACTTGTCCAGGCTGGCAGGGACAAATGTCATTTTGTGCTAAGATGGCTGCCTCTGATTGCGACTGCAAAAAACGTGCTCTTGATTTCCTTTACTTTCACTGGGGTTGGGGATCACGAGAGGAACCGCGCTTTTTCTGTGCCAGGGAGAAAACTTCTGCGATCTGTTTCTGAGGAACGTCCCACTGACTTCTGCATTTCTTTGGCCACGAATCCTGTTTGCACAGCGCGGCCTGCGAGATCTTGAGTTAAATTACGAGGGCAACTGTTTGGAGAAAGAACATTTTATGTCATTCCTAGGGTTTTTCTTTTGCATATCTTGAATGCTCCGACCTACGAGTGAGATTAATGTTGTATTTAGAAAAGCAGCAGCTACAGTTCCCATTATTTTCCCATTGGACGCGTGGTTCAAATCAACTTCCAGAGGCCAGAAAATCAGTGTAAACAGAAGTGAGTTGTTTTTATTTATTGGCTGCAGTAAGTGGCAAACGATGCGCTTTTAAAGACTTCTGTCATTGGCAAGCTGAAAGATGCCTTTGGAAACATGAAAGCTGTAGCAGATTTTTTTTTAAAGTTTTATTTAGGTTCTTCAAGAGGTGTATTGTAAAGCCTGAACTCAAAACTATGGTTGTATGGAGTATTTTTTCCCTAGCAGACTTTAAATTCTGTAACTTTAATTACGTATCAAACCAAACCCTTAAGTACAAATACTGAAGAAGTTGCAGTTGTGTGGCAGGTACTTGCAAATAATTCTTCATGAGAATAGGCACGTTGACATGCGTGTGATAGCAATGAACTTTCTCTATATGTATTTACGGTGAAGTGGCTTTTGCAGGGACCTGGAAATGCAGAAGCCAGGTAGTACCTGTGCGTACCTTCCTCAGCCGTTCCCAAGAGCGGTGCTTGGTGTTGTGAAAGCCTTGCAGGCCGTGTGCTCCCTGGCAGGTCAGAGGTGTGTGGGGTGTGCTGCAGTCGCCGCGGGTGCAGTTCAGTGAATAGACTCGCTTTGGTTTCAGCAGGCCAGTCGGAATGGTTTCCAAACTGTGAGAGTGTCTGGGTTTGGTGGTGTGACCCAAAGAGTTTGTTGTTGTTGTCAGCTGTAGCTGGCTTAAGATGAGTCTTGATGTGCAAACCCCAGATCCCTGACATAGCACAAGATACCCTGAAACGGCAGTGCCTGGATCCTGGAGAGAGGTCCCGAGGTTGATACTGCACTCGGTTGTAATGAATTTGTTGGACTGCAATTCTCTCCTGTTGCTGTGTATTCAGCTCCCACAGTTGATGCTGGGAATTGTGGAAAGCAGCTGTCTGGTCAGAGTGCAAGTTGAGCTTCATGCAATTCTTCGAGTTCTTGTTGTGCTCCATCGTGTCTCCTGGTGATGCTGTTGGAAGGGTTAGTACTGGATCAAGCTGGTCACATTTTTCCTTTTATTGACTATATTTTGGGCCTTAAGATTCACTTTAAGGAAAGGGAGCCTTGTGTGGTTCTTGTAAGCATTGAGACAGCAGCTTTGCCTGCTCCTGGTCCTCCTCCAGCGAACCCAGGGACAAGTTGGCAGTGGCTCTAAGCGTAGTCTTGGGACCTTTTTCTCTCCCTGCCTTTGTCTGCTTCCCTGTGCAGACACTGTGCTGAAAGGTTGACAGAGTCTTGCTGTCTGAAACTTAAATGAGTGTTTAACTGCTGTGGTCTGCAAGCTAATGAGTACGGACTCCAGTTGTGCCCATGCCTGAGGACAGTACCAGTTTGTGTATGGTAGTACCTAGGGTCTGAATTTTGGGGTTTTTTTTTGAATGGCTTTAGAGCTCTCATTTTCAGAACTAACTTTTGTTGTGGAATGCTGAGACTTCACTAAAAACAAAGTGAAGAAAAGGAACCAGAAAGAAATGGGAGGTTTCAGTTTCTGTTTTCTTTCTGTTCCTGGTACAGTGTTGCAATGTTAATACTAGAAAGCTGGTTTAAACTAAACTAATAGGAGTGTTAACCAAGAAAATTGCATCCTTTTAATTGCATTAATGAGCAGAATGTGAAACCAGTGGGCTCTGCAACTATGAAACAGGCCCAAGGAGAATAACATTTTTAGTACAGTAATAGTGGCAGCAACTTTAAAAAGCTTGTGAAGAGTGCTGGTACATGGCTTCCAGTGTGTTTGAGGTCAGATGTGACCTCGTAACCGTCACATAATATGTGCGATCTATAATTCTTTAGATACTTAGGCTCGAATGGCTGTCTATTACAAAGTCAATATTTGGTGGCTTTGATGGCTGAAACATGAACTCTGATACATACAGTTTTTAATTTTCTGGCTTTCTGAGCGCTGTGTGATGGATGTGACCGTGTTTCTTCTGGAGCTGATGGGAGTGAAAAGGGAAGAGTGGAGGAAAAGCTGTTAAAGCTTGAGGAGAGAAGAAGGCAGTGAGTTTGTATGTGGGCCTTGCCCAGGCCATTCTGCTGTGGCAGAGCTTTTCTAAGGCGAGGAGCACAGAACCAGCCTCTCCTCTTGGTATGTGTGGAATTTATCCTTGGTTGTAAGCTGTGGCCTGGCCCTACCAGATCACAAAGTTCAGCACGGAAATCGGGGTCTGAATTGCAGTCTGAGTGTCAGCTTCATTATCACTGGGATCATTAATTTTAACTGATGGCAACAGTTTGCCTTTTTATGATAAGGCGAGGGAAGCAGCTTCTGAAGTAGCTGATGTTTTGCTCAACAGAAGTTTTCTTCCCTTCTTAATTTTATATTGATTTTGCTGGAGCCCAGTCCTACAACATCTCTCTGCTCAGCTTGTTCTGTGCTGGGGAGTCCAGAGCAGGGCCCTGAGATGAGATGGGATTTCTCCAGTGGAGAGCACAGCGTTGTTGTCCGTGCTGAGTTCAGTGATCAGGTTATCAAAAGCATCTGTAGTGCATGGATTTTAGTTTTCCTTTTGTGCCATCACTGTTTCAGTGCAAGTTAAGACTTAACTGGAAATACTTCTCAGTGAAAGTTTCATTTATGGGAATGATTACAGAAAAGGATTACAGAGATTTTCTGCAGCAGTTCTGTTGTTCTGGGACTTGCTTTCCTCTCCTGCTGTTGTGTTCTCCAAGATAGGGCATGGAGGCAACGTCAGTTTGAAACGAGTAAGAATTGCGAGTTTAAACTGTTTCTGAAAACGAGACACTTGCTTAATGGGATGAGTTTGTACTTCAGAACAAATTAAGTCAAATTTGTTTAATTACTTGGCAGAAGGGAAGGAGTCAAGCTGCTGTATCTAAATGTTCTTTCAAGTGTAATCCAAAGACATGTAAAAGTCTGATAGTCTGGGCCCAAGACTGGGAGCCAGGAACTTAAGTCCTGAGCTTTAACCCTGAGTGATTACCACTCATCTTTGACAGATTGTTTAACTACTTCATCCCCCAGTTGTCTCTGAAGGAAGTACTGAAATCTCTCTTGACTGCTGACTTAATTTTCAAGTCTGAGGTTTAACCATTCCTCGCTGCTTTGTTAATAACCTATGACTTGTTTCATGTTTCCTCTTTCATAGCCCAGACGTCGCTGTAGTCTGCTCTAGTTTGTGCAGATGATGAACAGATGAAGCCTCTTACATCTCTATGCCCAGCCAGCTCCTGTGTGTGGTCAGAGATATAAACGAGATTTGACTTTTGTTCGGGAGAGCTTTCTGTGTTTGACTCTGGGTATGTTCTGTCTTTCAAGTGGAGTTTCAGGTTTATTTTTGGCAGGCTTCAGAATTGCGGAGCAGCTATGGGAACTGTTGTAGCTTCAGTGATGGTAGTTTGTCTTCAGTGCACGAAAATAGTTACCTTGGAGTAAGGAAAATTGACGCCAGGAATCAGGACTGCTGTAAAAAGCAGTTTGTCACCATCTGGAGTTCACCATCTCCTCTTGCCTTACCAGAAAGCTTTCTCTTTAATAATGCTAAAGAAAGACTGAGGTGTAGTTGTGGGAGGGAGCGTAATTGGGGTTTCCAAGGGCTGTGTTTGTATTCTCTGTGCTTCCTGAAGTAACATTGGTTAGAAGGAGCAAGGACTAGTAACAGGTTCGGTTTTAAGGGGCAGTTTGAAATACACTGTAGATAAATAAAAAGGCCCATGGTTATAATCCTGTTCTGTATTCCTAAGTCTGCTTCTGTATTTTAGCTCTTTTCAGCTGTTTGTAGAATGCCTGTCTGTATCTAGAGAGAGAAATAGGCTACTGTGTTCTAGGAACTGCTGATCTGGAGTGACTAAAGTGTGCATTTAAAGTGCGAAGTCTCCCAAAACAAAGAGCATTTAGCAAACGGCTAAATAGTGAGTGGCTGTTCAGCTCCCCAGAAGTTATTCAGTGCTCTCTTGATGTGGGTTTGGTAGCTTGGGCACTTCATCTTGTCAGTCACGCTGACCAGCATTGGCCTGGAGCTTCTGCCGTGCTTTGCTGGGTTCGGCATCTTTTTTGCTTAAATTGAAAATCAGTTGGGAAAAGGAGTGAGCTTCTGGTGTTGTAAATACGGTGGTCATAGCGATCAAGCTGTCAGACTCCAGCA